GTACTCAAGAGGATAAAACTGGGGGGGCCACTAGGGTGGCCAGCTTATTCTCAGGGGGGGGCCATGCCCTCCCTGCCCCCCCTTCTGGCGCCCCTGGCCAACAGGAGCAAACGGCTTGCTAAAAGTAGCACAAAAGGATAAAAATCAATGCAAAAACAACATTTTTGAACAAATTGAAGAAATTCCCTACGTATTTCTCCTAGAAAAATTATTTTAAAGTTACATGTTTGAAGAGCATAAAAGTTACAAAAGTCACAGCAGCCGTCTCCTAACCAAGCTGATCCTGTAAAATACATGGTAATAAAAGAAGAAATAATGTTTAGGCAAAAAAAAAAAAAAAAAAAAGGGAAAAATTGCTCCATTGTCACAATTAAAATCACAGACTTGAACTGAACTGGAAAAATAGATTTTATTCCTTGAAAAGAATTCACATTAGATCTGACAAGTATTTTATGTACTATTCTACCAGAAAATCTGTCAAAGGCTAACTTTTGTCTTAAGCAGATGGCTTTTTAAACTATTTTATTTTCTTGGTATTTTGTTGTGATTTTTTTCTGTTATAAAAATAGAAAAATATTCAATAAAAACAGTTTTAAAAAATAAAAGCACAGGCGTGTGAGACTGCAGGACATGTGACTTCATGGTCCTCCATCTGACCAACAACTTAGACACAACAAGTCCTGTCAGAACAAAGAGACTTCAGACAACCAACACTTACCCTCTCTCTGAGCTTCTCCTTCAGCAGAAGGCTGAGCAGATTGTAGGGAACACGGAACCAGACAGGAGCCCCAACAATCAACACCTTCTTCAGCCTGGCTGGGAACGCCCCCTGGTGGACGAACACAGCACATCCCAAATATGGGATTTAGTTTTCCCACAAAGAACAGCTTATTGTAACTGATATACTGACAGGATGTAATTAGACAAGTATAGAACAAAAAAAAACAAAAACAAAACAGGTTTTGGTGTTAGATTTTTGTGTTTAAACAGTTAAACATTTGAATAGAGGTGTTTCCAACAGCAGATTTCAGTGCTTTAAAATTCATCCACCCTAATAGATGTGTAAAACTCATTTCTACATTTACTTAATTTTGCCTTAAATATGTTGAAAACAGTTTTTTCTGATGGAGAACAACTACACTGTATGTCTAAGACGTAAGAACAAAACGGAGAAGGCCAACAAACTACCAGCCTGGTAAAAACAGACCCTTGTCTATGGGCTGCCGTTTGTAAAGTTACAGTCAGAAATTACCACCAATATTTTTGTTTTATTTAGCCTTTTATTGGAAAAAAAGAACAGATTTATTTTTCAAAGTCAGTTTTTCACCATATGATTCATACATTTATAAATGTCATAGTTTATAAACTAAATATTTAACTTACAAATTAAATATTTAGTTAACAAGATAAATATTTAACTTGCAACTTAAATATTTAAGTTAAATATTTAGGCGGCTAGCTAAATATTTAAGTTGCAACCTAAATATTTAGGTATCTAGCTAAATATTTAAGTTAAATATTTAGGTATCTAGCTAAAAATTTAAGTTAAATATTTAGGTATCTAGCTAAATATTTAAGTTAAATATTTAGGTATCTAGCTAAAAATTTAAGTTAAATATTTAGGTATCTAGCTAAATATTTAAGTTAAATATTTAGGTATCTAGCTAAATATGTATTTAAGTTAAATATTTAGGTATCTAGCTAAATATTTAAGTTAAATATTTAGGTATCTAGCTAAATATTTAAGTTAAATATTTAGGT